TTCATGCCCACATGATTAAAACCTGTTATCTTCCCGCTACGTACCTCCGAACTCGTCTTCTCATCTTCTATGGTAAGTGTGATCGCTTGGAGGATGCCCGGAAAGTGCTTGACGAAATGCCTGAGAAGAATGTTGTTTCCTGGACTGCTATGATCTCGCGTTATTCTCAGACTGGGCATTCTTCTGAGGCTCTCTCTGTTTTTGCAGAGATGATGAGATCAGATGGGAAACCAAATGAGTTCACTTTCGCTACTGCTCTTACCTCTTGTACACGTGCTTCTGGATTAGCACTTGGTAAGCAAATTCATGGACTCCTAGTTAAGTGGAGTTACGATTCTCACATTTTTGTTGGGAGCTCCCTCCTTGACATGTATGCCAAAGCTGGTCAAATTGTAGAAGCTCGTGAGATTTTTGATTGCTTGCCTGAGAGAGATGTTGTCTCATGTACTGCTATAATTGCTGGATATGCCCAATTAGGTCTTGATGAAGAGGCATTAGAGACGTTCCAGAGACTGCTGAGTGAAGGAATGACTCCGAATTATGTTACCTACGCGAGTCTTTTAACAGCATTATCTGGACTTGCTTTGATAGATCATGGCAAGCAAGCTCATTGCCATGTCTTGAGACGTGAACTTCCGTTCTACGCGGTCCTTCAGAATTCCCTTATTGATATGTACTCAAAATGTGGGAATCTCTCTTATGCTCGAAGGCTTTTTGATAACATGCTTGAGAGGACATCAGTTTCATGGAACGCGATGCTTGTGGGATATAGTAAACATGGTTTAGGAGGAGAAGTTCTTGAGCTTTTCAGATTGATGAGAGACGAAAAGAGAGTAAAGCCTGATGCAGTTACCCTTTTGGCTGTTTTGTCTGGTTGCAGTCATGGGAGAATGGAAGACACAGGGCTTAGCATATTTGAAGGCATGATAGCAGGAGATTACGGGATTAAGCCTGACACTGAGCATTATGGTTGCATCGTTGATATGCTTGGCCGTTCTGGTAGGATTGATGAGGCATTTGAATTCATCAAAAGAATGCCATCTGAACCTACTGCTGGTGTCTTGGGTTCTCTTTTAGGAGCTTGTAGGGTTCACTTATCTGTAGATATTGGCGAATCTGTAGGTCGTAAGCTCATTGAGATTGAACCAGAAAATGCGGGGAACTATGTCATTCTCTCTAACCTGTATGCTTCTGCAGGTAGATGGGAAGATGTAAACAATGTAAGAGCTTTAATGATGCAGAAAACTGTTACGAAAGAACCAGGAAGAAGCTGGATTCAGCACGAGCAAACCTTGCATTACTTCCACGCAAATGATCGTACTCATCCAAGAAGGGAAGAAGTGGTAGCTAAAATGAAAGAAATATCGATAAAAATGAAGCAAGCTGGTTATGTTCCTGATCTTAGCTGTGTGCTATATGATGTGGATGAAGAGCAGAAGGAGAAGATGTTACTTGGTCACAGTGAGAAACTGGCCTTGACTTTTGGGTTGATTGCTATTGGTGAAGGAATTCCAATTCGAGTGTTCAAGAATCTTCGTATATGCGTTGATTGTCACAACTTTGCCAAGATCTTCTCAAAGGTTTTTGAACGAGAAGTGTCCTTGAGGGATAAAAACCGGTTCCATCAATTTGACCGAGGAATATGTTCATGTGGAGATTACTGGTGAACATCGCATAAGGCATGTAATATTTGATTAAGCCAACATCTGTGGAAATGTAGGTGTTGAAGAAAAACGGTACAAATTAAAGTTGATTTGATATTCTTTTACTTTGTTACAGCTACGAACCGTACAATCACCCAAACATACAAAACCTGAAAGACTCAAAAGTTGGCATCTTTTTATCAGTTGGGTTTCTAGTCAATCTTCACCGAAGAGTAGATCTTTCTCACAAACCAGAAGCAAGCATAGAAACCGATTGTGCCAGTTAGGACGAAGAATGCGTAAGAGATGATGATCATGTACCCGAAGTAGAGCATTCCCGAGACTAGCTTGGTGATCTCCAGCTTTGTGAAGAAGTAGAAAATTGAATAGAGGAAAAGGTAGAAAGCGGATGAGCCTGCAGTTAAATAAGCTCTCCACCACCAGTTGTAATCCTCGCTACAAAGTTGGAAGTAGCAGAGCACCACTGTGATCTCTGCACAAGTGACGATCAAGATCAAGAACACTATGAAGAGGAACCCGAAGATGTAGTAGAACTGGTTCAGCCATATTGATGTCAGGATAAAGAAGAGCTCGATGAAGACTGCTCCAAACGGGAGGATGCCTCCAATTAGTATGGAGAACACTGGTTTCATGTACCATGGTTGCTCTGGTACTTGCCTCGGGATCTTGTTTGTTTTGACTGGAGCTTCAATTGCTGGCTTTTTGTAACCCAGATAGCTACCAACGAAGACTAGTGGGACTGAGATGCCAAACCAGAGGCAGAAGAGAGCAAACATAGTACCAAATGGTATGGCTCCAGATGACTGCTCTCCCCAGATGAGGGCATTCAGAACAAAGAAGATAGCAGAAAGGATACCAGGAAACATGAATGCAGTCTTCAACGTCATTCTCTTCCACTTGTTTCCTTTGAACATTTTGTGAAGGCGAGACGAGGAGTAACCAGCGAATATGCCCATGAAAACCCACAAGAGAACCATAGCAGTCATAAGCCCTCCTCTGTTGGATGGAGATAGGAAGCCCAGCAACGCAAACATCATTGTAACAAGTGACATTCCGAATATCTGAACACCAGTACCAACATAAACACACAATAATCCAGAGTTCACTGGTGGCCTGAAGACATCTCCATGTACAAGCTTCCATCCAGTCTCTTCCTGAGCCTCATCTTGGGTCTCAAGCTGATTGTAGTTTGAGATATCCTTGTATAGAGTTCTCATCATGATCATGGCTACCATTCCAGAGAGGAAAAGAACGATCATAAGTGAATTGATGATGGAAAACCAGTGGATTTGATCATCGTTCATGAGAAGGTATGTGTCCCATCGAGAAGCCCATTTGATTTCACTCTCCTGGAGAATTAAAGTCCGGAAAATGTAAAGCAATGTAAAATGTAAAGCAATGTAAAATGTAAAGCAAAAGAAGTCTATGGCTAAACCTTTACCTTAAATGAGACATCATATGTAAACACTATTTCTTTTCCTTGCTCAACTTCTTGAGGGACAGTGTTGCTTTGGATAAGATTCTTTGTATCTTTATTACATGTTGTTAACTGAGGATTTTTTTCGTCCCACTCCTTGTATTCATGCAAGATACTATCAAAAAGAGAAGCCGTTAGCTTATACCAATCGGGATAGGGAAGCATAACCCAAGTAGTGAAGATAACCAGTAGGCAACTAACTACCTGTTCGGAGTAACCTCAAATCCAACAATTCTAGCAGAATCAGACTCTTGATCTCTGTGGTACATAACCCGGAAGCTCAAGTGATTATGTATAAAGTATTTCTCCTCTTTGCTCTGCAAAAGCCACGCAACTATTGGTTGGTATGAGAAAAAAGTATAAAGAATGCAAGACTGAAACACTAGATTTCAGAGACATACCCCTTCATAACTCCCTTTGAAGCCAACACGAAACCCGTGTTCATAAGTCGTTGACTGACTTCCATCTCTCCTTTGTCGAAGTACAGCTACTGGAAGATTGTCAAGAATCCTGTACAGCAATTTGGGTTAAGGTTTGTGGGATAATTAAAAGACATCTCGGAGGCAGAGATGTGAAGAACAATAAAGTTATATTAACTACTTACATATTGGCCCGGTATTCATCATCAATCTTTTCCTTGAAATTTTTTGTGGACTCGGCGTCAAGCTTAACACGGCAACCTACTTTGCAGGGCTGATCTTCCAGCATTTGAAACTGAAAAAATTGTTTCAGTAAAGTCATAATGAAGAGGTTAAGGTATGTAAGAAAAGCAGTCTAACAAAATCTATAGGGAAAAGAATAGGGTATTGCTTACAGTATAAACCGAATTCTCAATGCGGTCTCCTCTAAGAACCTCCCCCAAATTCTCAGCATTGTTCAAGATCTTAGGAGGCTTACAGTAATTCAAATAGTAGTAGTCATAAGGAAGTTGAGTCTTCGTGGACGACAATTTGTTCACTTTAACATAAAGAGGATCACCCTATTCCATGCCAGACAAAACAACAAATCAAGAGCTGGATAGCCAAGTAACTAGTAAAGCAAAAAGAAGATTTGAAAACACAAATTTCATTCAAGTGCAGATCTATGGATTTAGATATGAATGTAATTCAAAATGAAATCACGGATTAGCTAACTATATACCCATGTTCATACATTATCACATCGAATTAAGTAAATAAACCCTTTAAAGTTTGAAATGCATAATGAATAAAAATATCTTTTTATTGAATCAGCACATAAAATCGAAATGGTTCAAGGATCTGTAAATCTCACAGATAGAAAAGACCATCAGAAACACAAATGAAGGATCTTCAATTAAAACACAGAGATCTCTATATCACATATTGACACTTCAAATACTCAACGACACGACGGTGCCACTTTATTCCGTATATTACAGAGCAGAACAAAAAAAAATCAACTTAAGTTTCGTTTTGTCGAAAAATTTCATCAACCCACTCAAATAGTAGCTAGCTACTACCAACATAAACGGTGACCAATTTAAAAAAAAAAAACAAAAAAAAGACACAAAATTTCAGCCAGATGTAAATGAAACCATATACCAAAAGAGAATATAACTCAGACCCATAAATCCTAGATCAAGTTTCTCATCCAATACACAAGATCGGGAAAGAAAAAAAATTAAAGAGTTACCTTCTGAAAATCGCGAGGAGCGACACCAGGGAGATAGAAGGCACGAGATAAGGAAAAAGAGAGGAAAGCTAGAAAGAGAGTGGTGCAGAATCGAAAGCTAGTTCCTTTCGTCTTCTTCATCTTTTTGTCTAATGTCCTCAGAGGTCTTCTTCCGATTGAAGTTGCCGGAGCTAAATAGAAAGAATTGTGTTTTTTATTTAACAAAGATGACGAAAGGTTGATTACCAGATACGACGTCGTTTCAAGGTGGTTTGATAGCTTACAAATAAGAAAGTGTAGAAGAAATAAGATATTTCAAAAGTAAATGCTTTTTCTTTTGTCAATAGTAAGACTTAAAAGAGCATTAATAATAGATTTGAGATCATTTCCTGACTTGTATGACATTTGTTAAATTGTTTTTTTTTTTTTTTGGTAGTAACATTTGTTAAATTGTTATGTTGGGAATATATATATAATTCTCTGCATATTGAGAATTTAAGAATGCAATCTCTTATGCAGGAATGCAGGATCATCCAGTTTCAGACAAGAATTTTGGTTTTGTACTAAACCATTAAACTCAAAATTAAATGTTAATACATTAAGAAGCTTCATGTCTAAGCAAAGAGATATTGGTTGAGTCGCCTAAGTTTGGGTAAGTACAATATAGCTTTAGTCTCAAGAAATCACTTAAAGCATATTAGTATTTTGTCATGATTCATGAATCAAATCATTAAGTAAAGTTAGTTGATGATTATGATAAACGAAAGTAATAAACAGAAATTTTCATATTAATTGTTTTTTTTCAACATCACGTAGAGAGATGCATTTGTAAAGACTAAAAATTATGTTGAATTGAAAGGGTCTATGATATTTTTCTAAAACAAATAAAACGATGCGTTTTAATGCCCGCCGGCAAATGAAAGAAGCAAAGAGAAAAATAAGAAGTGTATGTGAAAGTCAAAGAAACCACCATGGAAATCGAAGGTGAAGACGGCGCGAAGCTCTTCCTGAAGGCCGGAGTAAAGTCTGTGTTCGGAAGAGGAGCGGGATTCAACACCGGAGACCTAACAGTGTCACGCCGCCACGTCTCGTTCGAGTTAAAACCCGCCGCCGCCGGAACCGAACGGTCCGAATCCGATAGGGTTTACTTCGAGGTTCTCGGGAGGAATCCAGTCTGGGTTAAGACGGGTGAACTCGGCGAAAAGATTCGAACTTTCCGGAAATCTGAGACGGGAGAGATCGCCGGCGGCGATCGATTTTGTGTATCGGGTCATAACCCAATTTGGTTCACTTTGGAGAATTGCGATGAAGTTATGGAAGAGAGAAGAACATTGGATAGTGAAAGCGAATTTGGTATTATAGAAATCTCAGATATCGACCCTGTTAAAGGTAATCAATTTTGCACTTTACATCACCCAAATTCGTTTGATTTGTTTGGTTATCTCTAAAGAAATCGAACAAGGCTATGGTTGAAAAATTCAAAGTTTGGGGAACACCTTGTGGATTCTGTTTTGATTTATATTGTTTGTCTGTATATTTATAATAACACACTTTAGTGTCTGCACATTTCGTTAGAATGAGTCTCAATGTGTTGTGTGGTGTTGCAGAGTTTGGATTTCTTGTGATTGGGAAAGAGTTTGATCAGTACCCAAAGAGTAGGATGCGTGACATAAAGCAATGGGAATGGTTTTTAGAAGATTCCACGAATGGAAGAAATAGCGATGATGATGATGGAGATAAGAAGAGAAGGAAAGGATTAGGCAAAAAGAGAAGTAGAAAGAAAGGGAATGAGGACGATGATTGGAGTGTTGAAAGTGATGAAGATAAAGAGTTGATGGTGAAATCCAAAAGAGTTATGGTGACTCCTGCTTACTCGACCAGATCCAAGAAGAAGACGAAGAACGATACAAACGCAAGTAGTAGTGGTACTCAAACGAAACAGCGTGGAGGTGTAGATTTCGAAGATGACGATGATGAAACATTGGGAGGCTTCATTGTTAGTGATGAAGAAGATAAGTTAGAAGAAAATGACGAATCAAATGTAGAAGAAGAAGAAGAAGAAGAAGAAGAAGAAGAAGGTCTTGATGAAGATGAAGACGAAGAGTAATATTCAGCTGCAATCTCCAAAATACTTGACTACTTGACTAAAACCTGAAATGCAAGCTTAAGCTAATCTTCTTGTTTTCTAGAACTACACAATCTTTTGTTCAATCTTATGATGTGTGTGTTGTGCGTGTATGTAAGAAGTGAGATTTTTGATATTATGGTAAATTGTTGTTTGCTTACTTTAAACGTTGCCTTTTGCTTTTGCTGTTATTTGGCAGTTCATGGTACCCCACTCAGGCAGGTATCAGGGATCCACGTTCTTCATCTCGTACGTGTGAGTTCTTCTAATCATACGTGTGAATGAGTTTTACAAATTAAAAAAGAAAGAAAAAAAGCCGCGAAGTCTTCTCCTCCTTCCTTTCTCCATCGTCCTCATCTTCTGGCTTTCTTCTGGAAATTTTTCTGTTTCTCACGATACAATACAATACAACGAAGCCTTTTTCCATATACAGAATCGAAAACATGAGCACCGAGGACAGCATCAAATCCATCAAAACAGATAATAACTGTGGCGATTCCTCTGATCTCTCTACCGTTCCCGCCTTAGGTAATTTCAGAAACTTAACTCTTATTGTTTTATGTTTCCTTCCTAAAATTTACCTTCTAATTCTCTGGAAAACATTGAATCTTTGGATAGTCCGACCAAAACTCAACCTTCTCTGATTTAACTTCGGTCTCAAGTAAATCCCCTGTTTTACTTTCTCGATCAACAAGGAACAATAACTAACAAACCATTATGCTTTTCAGACCTTTCGCCAGAGGGTTTTGCTTTTCTTGAGGATATTAAGGCAAGTTACTTCATATCGTTGATAAAATCTCGTAACAGTAGTTTCTTTTATATTTCCTCTGTTTTATGATCTTTTTGGGTGTTAATTAACTTACAGAACCTAAAGCGAACCTTTGATGTGAAAAAACTCTCTCCTAAAGTTACCAAACGTGTTCTGTTCCTCAAGGACATTCAGGTATAGTCAAATCGACGGTCTCAAAATAAACTATATCTTGCAGAGAGATTTAATGTTCTGTTTTGTAAATGTTGTGTAAATTTTCAGGTTAAACACGATGAACTCGAAGAGAAGTTTCTTGCGGAAAAAGCTGCATTGGAGGCAGCATACGATAATCTCTACAAGCCACTTTTCGCTAAGGTAACAAGTTTAGAGTTTTCATATTCCCTGTCAGTATTATACACTTGGTTTCTTAACTAAGACCTATTGGGAATTTGCAGAGGTATGAAATTGTGAATGGTGTGGTTGAAGCTGAAGCAGAGAAAGAAGGAGTGCCCAATTTCTGGTTGATTGCAATGAAAACTAACGAAATGCTCGCAAATGAGGTCCATGATTCGATTGCCTTTTACTGGGAGCTGTGTGTTCATATTGTCATTAAATAGATTGTAAATGTAGTATTTGTTTTGGTTTATGAAGATAACCGAAAGAGATGAGGCAGCACTGAAGTATCTTAAAGACATTAGATCTTGCAGAGTTGAAGGCAATTCTAGAAATTTCAAGCTGGAGTTTCTCTTTGACCCTAATCCTTACTTCAAGAACTCGGTTCTCTCCAAAACTTACCATGTGACCGATGAAGATGGTCCTGTTCTTGAGAAAGTGATTGGGTAACTAATCATCCTCATTTTACTTGGTTTTAGTTTTTCCCTGATCTGAAACTCAGTCTCTTATTTGTGATGTGTAGAACGGACATAGAATGGTGTCCAGGTAAATGTTTGACTCACAAGGTTGTTGTGAAGAAGAAAGCAAAGAAAGGGTCAAAGAAGGTCAACAGCATTCCCATGACCAAAACAGAAAACTGTGAGAGCTTTTTCAATTTCTTCAAGCCACCAGAGATTCCTGAGATTGATGAAGTCGACGATTACGATGATTTTGATACCGTTATGGTTAGACTACCTTCTCTCTTTTGATTCTGAATTTGATACTGAACCAATGGTGTCTTCTTCAGCTAAATATCAATTTTCAAATGTTTGCAGACGGAAGAACTCCAAAACCTGATGGACCAAGACTATGACATTGCGTAAGCTTACTGTCTCACATTTTCTGACATTGTAGATATTCAAGAAATGTTTTTCTTAACTATTGTTTTTTCGGTTTTACAGTGTGACAATCCGAGATAAACTAATCCCTCATGCGGTTTCATGGTTTACTGGAGAGGCTCTTGTTGATGAGGACGATTGTGATGATGATGATGATGATGATGATGATGATGATGAGAAGAGTGACTAACAAGAAGAGAAGACTTGTTTCAACAGAGTTTGAAAATTGAAAGAGGAGCTTCATATTCTCTAATTTATTTATTTCAGATACACCAAGAGTTTCAAGAATCTCTCTCAATACATATATCTCAAGAACTGAATTTAGAGAGAAGACTTCATGCTCCAAGCACTTAGGCTTAAAACATCAACATTCTGAGATCCCTTGTTAAAAGCAAAGAGATGTGTTCTTTCTCCTACTGCCAATTTTGGATAAACTCTTGAAGTAATACATGCTTTCCCTTTCCCACCGAAGTTCTCCACTATTGAATTATCAATCTACAACATAAAAGCAAAAAAAAAAAAATACTCATTAACAAAAGAATCTCAAATTACTAAATTCACTATTTGTTAAAGTTCTTGTGGTAATGATAAGTGGACTCACCAAAGTCCTGAGAGAGAGTGTCTGATAAGGAGAGATATCCACAAAAGCACCATATGTTGTCTTATCATTCCCTTTCTCTAAACTCGATCTGCTTTGGTCACTGCACATGACCACAACGTGCTCCTTACTATCCTCACGAACTTTGAAGATTCTGAAATAGACAGACGTGTACTCTTCCAAGTTCTTGGAAGCCATAACCATTAAACCAAATGGACCTAAACCTGATGATGCATTCTTCAGGCTGCAAATCATTTGCGGGTCGGTCCAGCCTGGTTCAATCACATCTGCTTTCTCTAAGTCTAAACCACTCACTTTAAAGAAAACCTCTACATCTGCTTGTGAGGCTGTGACACCATGAACCTCCATGACCGTTCCTCCTCCTTTCAAAACTTTGTTACCCCACTTGACTTGCGTTGTACGTAACCTCTCTATTTCCTTAACCGGCCATTGCACCAATCTCTTTCCTGATTCACCAAGCCATACTTTCCTAGGAATAGCCTAATTAATTCACCACAATTATCGGTTAGTTACGCCTAAATTTGCGTACGTAGACAAAATGTTAAAATCATAGCCGGTTTTGATCACCTGTAAACCGGCCCAGCCCTTATTGGCATTGTCCTTCTCCGGCGACGATTCGTTAACCCATCCCCACAAAATCCTCCGTTGATTAACCGAGTCGTAAAATGTCTTCGACGCGTAAAATTTGCCGTAATCGTACCTCGGAGCCGTTTTGTCCTGAACAAAACCATTGTCCGGGACGTAGACATCTCTTACTTGGTCGTACGTCCCAATTGTGTAATAATCAAAATACGTATCTGATAAGCTAACTTTAAGCACGTGCTTTATCATCTTTTCTCTAAACGTTGTCGTATCAACGCCGTGTGAATCACTTCTCGCCACCGGGAAAAAATCAGGGCATTCCCACATTCCGGTGCCGTCATGGTAGTGAAGAGGTTTTGGAGATTTCTTCCATCTTACGAAATCGCGGCTCGTGTGTAGAATCGCTAATCCACGCCGACCTTCTTGACTACCTGTGGTTATACGCCATTGGCCATCACGGCCTATCCACGCGGTGGTTGGGTCGCGAAACGCGGTGGAGTTGATGTGGTTGACGGCGTTAGGTGTCACGAGGGGGTTTTCCGGAGATTTTGTCCAGTGCCGGAGATATGGATCGGTGAGGTTTTTGGGTTTCGCTAAGTTTTGGACCTGACGGTTATAACGGTCGTTGCCTGTGTAGAGAATTACGGGTTTGCCATCGGGGAGAATCGTGACGGAGCCGGACCAGCATCCGTTAATATCGGACGGTCGAGATGGTTTGATGGCTGGAGAATGTGTGATCCAGTTGATGAGATCCGTTGATGTGGCGTGACCCCATACAGTATCGTTAACTTCCATGACGGCGCCGTTTGGGTTCCATTGGTAAAATAGATGGTAGATTCCTTTGTATACCATAGGCCCTGTCCAATAAACACATACGTAATGTATTATATGCTTACATATATTTACTTAATTCCTAAAATAATATTGACTATTGAGGTAGAGAACAAGTAACTCACCATTAGGATCTTGTAGCATTTGAAACAAGGCCCCAACATATACAAAAAATATTAGAAGACAAGATACAAATAATGTATACAAAGTATGGAGAAATAAAAATAAAAAATAACCAAGCGAAATAAATTTTAACATGTCGGATAGTTAATATTCAATAATACCGTTCATCCAATTTTTAGGAGGCTGGAAGTGGTAACCGGTTCGGTAAGGTTGGTTCTTGATCTTATTGGGGACGTGGTGAAAGGCATCAAGAACAACAACAGCATTGTCAGCAAGAAACGACGAGATCAACAAGAAAATGGCAATGTTATACCAAAGTGTATTAGCCATTGCACTCTACTAGTTTATTTATTTTTCTGCTTATGTTTGAGTTTTACTTATGAAAATGCCAAATTTATAGGCAGTGAAGGTCTTTGGTGCGTGCTTGAGGTGGTGGTCCATGTATTAGATTCTATAATCTCAATCCAAAATAGGTATAATCTCAGTCAGGATTCAGGAATGTTCCAAATCTCTCATAGCCTTTTTGTCCGTCTCATAATTGCAAATATTTCCCACTCAGTAATATCACTTTATATGAATATCAGTGTCTCATCATTCATTGATGCGGTGTAAAATAAACAACACTGTTGATCTCATCTGTTTAAAAAAGCAACGAAAATGTACATTTTCTCCCTGTTGCCAGCTTTGGAAATACAGTTTTGGTGTTTATGCATGCTTTGCCTCCCCCCACGCACCATCTATAGTTCTCTACTATTGAAATGTTCAATCTATAACAGGGAAAAAGATAGATTGAGAAGCCAAATTGAAATTGAATAGGATTGTACCTACTAGTAAAATGACACGTGACTCTTCTTGAACTCTCTATTAGAACTCAACGTAGAAAGACAAGATCAAAATATCCTCAAAGTGAGATCGCTCCACTAAGTCTCTCCCCTATGATTATCACATTCTCCTAATCATGTTTGATGGGATTTTTTGTTTTTTTTTTTTTTTTTTTTGCATAGTAATGGGTCTTTTTAAAAATATCACACTTTTATATGTTAACGTGCTTGTGCTACCCATAATCCATTTGTTATAACAACTGAACGTTTAAGTATTTGTGTAGAGGCACACGGGTTCTGGACACAAATGGTTATATAACTAGGCCAACTTATTCAAATAGTTGTTTCTGAATGGAAAATACTACAGAATTTCCGATAATGTATTTTGATTACTACGGAGTACGGAGTTATACATTTGATTTCTTCATCAACTTTATCAAATTCTAAGTAGATTAGATTATTAACAGTAACATAATTTTTTTTTTGATTAATTTGAATTTGGGAAGGTTTCTTTGGCTAATGACTGTGAAAATTCTGATACATATGAAAATACAAAAAAAAAGAATGGTCGCTGCATGCTTTTAGTGCACATGTCCTAATCATCACTATTGCTTGAAGATTTCGAACGAGAGATAGTTGTGTACTTTAATTTCCAAGTTTTTGGAGGCGAGAATTATTACACCAAAGTGGACACAAACCAGATCAAGCCGATCATTTCCTCTGGCTACAATATCACGCACGTATTCTATATCTAGAGCCATAGGTTCACTAAACGACAACTATTTTAATTAGCCTTAGCTGTTGGAAAAAATACGATACTAGTAAACTACCATGCAATATGATGCTCTCCCATAATTTAATGGTTCATTTTTAGGCGGGTCATGAGTCATGAGGGAGTTGGATTAGTATCCGTTGAAACTCGGACGGTCGAGATGGTCGGATCGCTTAACCAATCGAGGTTTGATTAGTTGACCAGATCTATTGACATCAAGTTGTTGCTTACCCTAAAATATATGTTGCCGTTCAGATCAAGAAAACTAGTCTGACAATTAGCTCGGTTGTAATAAATTAAAATTAGGGTGGCATCTCTACTCTATAGTCTCTAGTGATGGTCTAGTGTTATAAATTCGGTCAGTCGTTAAGCTTACTTAATGTTGGAATAAACTGAACAATGATTAACCATTGGGCATAAAAGAAAAAAAATACAAGTGTTGGTTTAAAACCTAATATTTTATACTGGTTTTACTCGTACGTACACATATTGCATAATACACCAATACACATCCTCACAAGTGTACGTTGTCATTTACATTTAGTTTGGGCCAAACCGCTCAAGTTGATCGTAATAAAATTGTACTTGTATATATATCTATTTGTAGCCCTGGGCAAAATATTCGTTAGATTCGCTTCGCTTCGATATTCGTTTCGATTCGATTCGAAAAATTCAAATATCTATAAGATATTGAACCGAAACAAATATGAAAATCTAGTATTCGTAAAAACCGAAGCAAATAACAAATATTGATTTTTTAATGCCGAATATTCGCTTCGATTCGTATATTTATATATATGTATAAATATAAATTATTATATAATATATATAATATGTGTATTTATAGATTTGGGTATATATCTGATAGATTTATTATTCAAATTATTATATTTTGGCTCGTTGGGTTTTTTTTGTGCTAAATGTTGTTTTTAAGCAAATAAAACTTTACTATAAAAATTATTATTAAAAATTAAATGTGAGAATTCTATGAACGGTGGTTAAATTTTCTTCTTATTTTGAAAACATGTCAAATAAAAACCTCTAATATTTCATATTTTGCATTTTATATTTATGTACTATATGTTATTTGTTTTTAAAAAAAAATTAGATGGGTCGAAGCGAATTGAAGCAAGTAATTCGCAAATATTACGAAAAATATTCGAATATTCGAAGTTCCGAATACTCGAAAATTTACAAATCGAAGCAAATAACAAAATCAACTATTCAGTCGAGGCAAAACAAATAACAAATATCACAAATTTTCCGAATATTCGCTTCGTGCACAGGGTTATCTATTTGTATAAAGTCCACTATTCACGTTCGTCAGAACTTGGAAGATATTGACTACCGACAACAGAATTCTAATTTTTTAAACAGTGGAAACAAAACTATAATAAGTCAATAAGTCAAATAAAATGTCACATATATAGCCTTTTTTTGACAACCAAACAAAGTGGACCATATAAAGATCTCTCCAAAATCTACTCATATGAATGCTCAATAAATGGAGATAAACATATATCATGAATGTGTGTGTTTACATGTGTATCTATCTCCGCCTTACGTGATCATCAACTGATTTGGGCAGAGTTCATGCTCCAAGCATTTAGGTTTAAGACATCAACACTTTGAGATCCATAATTAAAAGCAAAGAGATGTGTACTTTTCCCTATTGCCAGTTTTGGATACACTCTCGAGGTAATGCATGCTCTCCCCTTTCCACCGAAACTCTCCACTACTGAATGATCAATCTACAACACCAACAACAACATATACCAAAAACTTTTTAAAGAAAAATCTACAATCAAAACATTCCCCTTGATTCTAGAATGAATAGTTGAACATCATATAGTTTTGCATGCCTTTATAATATTTTCTTATAAGTGTGAACATATAGTATAAATTTATATATGCATGCAACTATATATTTGTGAAATGGAAACTTTTAATTACCAAGGCTCTGAGGGATATTGGTTGGTATGGATTGATATCCACAAAAGCTCCGTAAGTAGTTTTGTCATTATCTTCCTCCAGTGAAGATCTGTCCCAGTTTCCACATAATCAAAAAGTCAAGTTTTGGATATTTTATTTCAAAGTTTTAGATCTATATCTGTGAGTCCTGTTGGAAATATATTATAAATATTTGCGACAAAAAAATAGTATCTAAATTTTAATGTATATAATCGGCATCATAATCAAAGAAACGTACCTGCTTTGGTCACTACACATGACCACAACGTATTTACTGCTGTTTTGACGGGATTTGAAGATTCTAAAGTAAACAGATGTGTACTCTTCCAAGTTCTTTGATGCGAAAACCATTAACCCGAATGGACCAAAACTAGACTTAACCGACACATTCATCTTACTACAAATCAACTGCGGATCAGTCCAACTTGGTTCTATCACATCCGCTTTCTCCAAGTCTCTCACTTTGAATAAAACCTCCACATCCGCCTGAACAATCACATGACTTTTTTAGAAACCAAATTAATTCTCTAATACCAATTTGATTTTGATATAGTTTACAATAATCAAACCTGTGCAGCTGTCACACCATAGACTTCAAGCCTAGATCCTGACTTTAGAACTTTGTTGCGTAAGTTTTTGACTTGTTTCGAACGTAATCTTTCAACTTCCCTAACCGGCCACTGAATCAATCGTTTCCCTGATCGATCAAGCCATATTTTCCTCGGAATCGTCTGTTCAAGAAAGAAACCAAAATTTTGATTCGATCTCTAACAAATTATATTCACTGTGTACTCAATTTAATAGTATAAAAATAATTACCTGAATACCGGACCAGCCTTTCTCAACATCATCCTCAACGGACGAGGACTCGTTAGTCCAACCCCACAAGATTCTCCGGTTCTTGGCCGAATCATAAAACGTTTTCGACGCATAATACTTCCCGTAATCGTATCTTGGAGCCGAAGCGTCCATCTTAAAACCACTGTCCGGTACGAATTTGTCTTTAACCCGGTCGTACGTACCGATCGTGTAATAGTCATGTTTCGTATCGTCCAAGCTTATTTTCAACACGTGCTTTAGAATCTCGTTAGGTTTACCAAACGAAGACGTTTCCACGCCGTTAGAGCCAAACCTCGTCACCGGGAAAAAATCAGGGCATTCCCACATACCACTTCCGTCGTCGTAGTGCAACGGCTCAGGAGACTTTTCCCATTTTAGAAAGTCTTTGCTGGTGTAAGTGATCGCTAGCCCACGGCGGTGGATCTTGCTTCCGATGATCACTCTCCATTTCTTGTCTTGGCCTAGCCACGCGGTGGTCGGGTCACGGAACGAGCTGGCGTTGATTCCGTTAACAGCGTCAGGAGCCATCAAGGGATTCAACGTAGACTTTTTCCATTCTCGGAGATAAGGATCGGAGAGATCCTTAGGCTCGGCTATGTTTTGGACCTGTTGGTTCTTGGGGTCAATCCCGGTATAGAGGATAACCGGTTTGCCGCTGGGGAGAATTGTAACAGAACCGGACCAGCATCCGTTAATATCGAAGGGTGCAGATGGGAAGATAGCTGGAGGATGTGGTTCCCAATTGATTAAATCTGTTGATGTGGAATGAGCCCACACTATGTTACCCCACACGGCTCCTTTGGGGTTCCATTGGTAGAATAGATGATATATTCCTTTGTATATCATAGGCCCTGTGTGCATATATATTTTTTTTATTAATCATAGGGATAATATAAAAGGAACGTGCATGCAGCGTAACATAAGGTCGACCAATACATTAGAAAAATCAAATATACGGTTGGTTTGCTGACTTATTGATGTAATCAATGTTTTTATAAAATAATAAAAATACGACTTTCTAGGGAAAATGATCTGTCTATTGGATATGAAGAGTTGACTAAAAGTCTTTTTTTTAAAAAAAATACTAAAGATGAGAAGAAGAAAACTAACCATTAGGATCTGCTCATCACGACCAATGATCAATCCATTTTGTCCAAGGACGAACCAGAAGGAAAAGAACAAGACAAATGTTAGAGAGTAATGAAAACAATATTCTGACACTTTAGAGATTGAGGTTTGACATAGCATTTTAGTCATACCGTTCATCCAATTTTTTGGGGGTTGAAAATGGAAACCGGTCCGGTAGGGCTGGGTTACGGAAGGAGATTTGGTGTTAGTGCTTTGGGAAAGTCTCTTGTAGACATGGTGCGAGGCTTCAAGATCGACGACATAGTTACCAATAAGTAACGTCAATAATAACCAAAGTCCAATGTTTGAGCAAACTTCTTTGGTCATTGTGTTTCTTTTTTTTTTTAGATTTCTTTCTGGTTTGGTTTTTGTTTGAAGGAATAAAGATCAAGCCAAATTTATAGACAAAGGGGGAGGGCAAGCCTTGTAATTATCGAAAAAATGAATATTATATTTGTTAATAAAGTTTTCTTGTCTCTTTGGGTTTAATGTCAAATAATGAATGTAATATACTGCCATAAGTCAGACATCTAAAACATGTTCATTCGTCAATATTTAATATAAATTTGGAATACTATATTTTTGTCATTGGTGATCATACAAAATCGACAAATACAATAAAATAAAGGTAATAAAATTAACAAAATAGATTGAAGAAAAACAAAACGAAATCGTATTGTATAAACTCTTTTTTTACGGCTAAAAGGTTATACACTTGTAGAAGTAATTTTCTCATACAAAATCTTGGATATATCAAATTTACAAAGTATAGTCCTCAAATAATAGCGTTTTGGTTTACATGATAAACACAACACTGGTTAGATGTAACTTGTAAGTTATAACTTAACGTACAGATATGTTTTCTTTCAGTTTTATATGCTCGAGTGTAAATATGTTTTTAACCCCATTTCGCTAGTCAACTATTTTAGGCTATCAAAAGTGCATTTCATAAAAGTTGTGACTATATATATATATGACGTTCAAGATATGCTTATGCGTGTCTAACATCTCGAATTTTTTTGTCTTTAAATCATCCTATATATCGTATTATCGTGACAAGGCTATGTCCACAAGTATATTTAACTATATTGATGGTAATGATAAGAGACAACTGTATATATATAAGTATATGTTGATAAATTATTATCATAATAACAATAATACTAACAATAATATTTTATAAACAAATAAATTATAAAATACGAACTTGATGTTTTACACGGACGTAAAGAAGTCAACAACAGTGAATAAGAACGTGTCTCCACTCTCCACCAATCCATCCATACATGAGGTGAGGAGATTAAACAATATGATTAAATGGAAAACGTAATTAAATATTTATAGAGGAAAAGTCAAAATTTGGACTCTACCTTTGTCCCTTTGTAGTATCCTGCTTCACATTTCTTTACAACTTTATAGTCTTTTGGCATACCAAAAAAAGACCATACCAGTTCTAGGTTTCAACTCTAAACCAATATACCCATTGTATGAGATAGTTTCAATCACTACGAGATTTATTTAACAATTATTAAATGACCTTTTAAGAAACATAGTTGGTAAGAAGATTGTATGAGTATCATATCATAATTTTTTTTAATGTTTACTTCAAATCTCACCCCGAAAAAAATAATTATATTACGATTTTAAAAATTGAGGTGTTGTATTATATATATATATATATATATATTATTTGCATTTCCATCCCATACGAACCATGTGGAAGTATAAATATAATCGTTTATTATTGGTGGATGCAATCTTTTGTGATAAAATATCGAAAAGATTAGTTAGGTGAAATATTTAAAACAAAGAAAAATAGGAAGGAATGGAACTGGAGAGTGAAGAAGAACCATAACATGTTTGTCGTCTATATTATAGAGGTTAGAGAATGGCTAGTTGACTAGGAATATTATGTTCGGACAAGAAGCTCTTTCACACTTATTATTTAACAAAACTCAAATAAAGAAGCTCCTTTAATTTACCCAAGTATCAGGGCATCAAAGTTGACTACACGTCCGTTCGTTTCAAGAAAAATCTACACAAGTAAAGGTGTTTCAAATAGCTTAGGTGTTAGTTTATGAATTAATAATATGAGTATTATATATCTTTTTGAGGTATGGAGAGAAATTATTCTAGGTAATTGGATAATAACAAATGATACATTCCTTTTTCAACAGTCACGAGATAGGATTGCGAGGTAAAACTTACATGTTTTCGAATGTGAAGTCTTGACGAAATTTTTTACGTCATTCGTATGTTTTCTTTGCTGTTACTAAATAGGTATTTACTTTAAATAATAACTACTTTGGAAAGTTTTTGGTTGAATATTTTTCCTCTTAACTTCATAAACTTAGATTTTTATATAATTTTTGTTTTCCTGTCAACGATTTGCTAACATCTTTTTTCATCGATGGACGACCATTTTGTATTGTGTGTGGTACATATATCCATCCATAACTAGACATCATCAAAAACGTACATATAACATATGAGGACAAAAAATAACAAAAAAAAAGTCAGATCGATCAATTTTTATCATCCGGATTTTGATACTAATGGATAATCATTAATATCCTGACACGATATCAAAAATCTATAAAACCATATGGTCATTTCTTTGTTATAATAAAGTGACGTTTCATATCGTATTTTATATATATATATATATATGTTATATGAAAGTTATACAGATCTTATATATATATGAACGAGAACGAACCAGTTGAGATTTTGTTTGACTTATTTTGGACCATGTAAAAAGCAAATCCAGCCGTACATGCACCGTCGTAACAGTTCAAAACATGCAAACAACGACGTCAGAGAGACTAAAAAGATCGATTTATGGTTATGGCCGGCCCAGGCCTTTCCAAATTTTCTATTTTCTATTTTTTTTTCTTTTTATTTATTTTATATACATAATAAGTTTTTTATATCCGAAATATTGTTACTTTCCCTTCAACCGTATCGTATGTATGTAATAATAATATGTTACGTTGAATTGAAATCAAAGAAACCCTAATTTCAGTCTGATATATATTTTTTTTTTTCCAAAGGACTTTAGCGTTTCCATCACGTCACTGGCAAATTCCTCTGTCCTGGCTTGTTATCCCTGCAGATTAAAGACTCACATCCTCATTTAGAGAGCCAAACGCCTTGGAGATTTGGTTTTATCAGCCATGGTGGTAGCTGTAAGTGATCGATCACATGTCCTTAATCCAAGTGAAATTCCAAATTAGATGTATCCTCTGATTTTTTTTTTTGATTGGTTTGACGAACAGAAGGAAGAAGAAGAATCCATGGGAAATCTGAAACAGCAGCTTGGGAAATTAACGGTTCCAGGTGAACCTAGTGTTAAGCCCTTGGTTGAGCTTGGGAAATTTGAAGATTACCAATGGTATATAATTGCTTCCTCCTTACTCAATACTAAAGTTCCAGTCTCTTCTCTTTGTGTTTTTTTTTTCCTCATGTATAGATTGTTTTGTTTGCAGTAACAATGCAATGGGACATAATAATCCAAATGCCACATCAACAAAGTGAAAATGAAAAAGTAGCATGAATAAAGTGAAGATGGAATTTCTTTGTTCAATGCAAGTTAAAGAAGACAGCATATATTAAAGTTTGCTATTTAACAAGAAAGGTCTAGGGGGATATGAATAAATTGAAAATCGGAGAGATGCAAGAAACAAATAAATAAGGGATTGAACTATCTAGTACTCACTCTCTACTCTATCATTTTGTTTTTTTTTTGCTTCTTTCTTTTTTTTTCAATTTTCTTTTGGTTGTATAAGATAATTTTGTCTTTTGCCCTGTTGGTTGAATTGCAGCTGCACTAAACTTGGATCATAAGAAGAGCACACAAGAGGGAGACAATACTTGTCATGAAAATATCCAAACTTGTCAAGTTTGCCGATACTACGGGCTTGTCCGATAATCACAGATCTTAAGTACCTCCTAGGTCCAACCATGTGAGCTGAAGCCATGGCCGGTATAAATTGGTCTAGATCGAAAACCACAGCAACATTCTTCTCCTCGTCAATGAAGAAACTCCCACCTTCAGTGTCAACCGGATAACCAGCGAGCTCTCTCATAAACTTGTTCCATGACACCGCATTGGGATCAATCTTACTGGTAACCCAAATCTCCATTATCTGACATGCATTCAAGCGTTGATGTAACACGGCGAGCTGCTCATCTCTGAGACAAGATAAAGTAACATTGTCTCGAGCATCATCAGAGCAAAACGGAAGATGCAGACTCGGTCTAAACCTCTCTGTTGTGAAATCGAAACAGAGTAAGATATCTTCAATCTTTGCTCCACCAAGGGTTGTATGATTTTTAGCAGTAAAAAAAGCATTTCCTTTCAAAGACACACCGCGTTGATGGGACCATATAAACCACTCGGGTGGTTCAACATCAATAGCCCTCCATGAATTAGAGCTAAAACTGTAGACTTCGTACCCAAGAACGGTTTGCTGCCCACCAAAAATCCTCAAGATTGTTGGAATCTCTAAACCAAGCCAACTTGTCATTAGTATGATATTGTCTGCTTTGGGACTATAACTCAAGCCCTCACGGATTTATTGGGCTTATTCCCAAAAGGCCTCATACTAATTGGAGTTGGACTTGACTTATATATTAGAAACTTCTCTTTCTAATCTTCCGATGTGGGATATTGGTTTGTATTCCAATACTCCCCCTCAAACCCATATCCACTCCCTAGGTCCACAATCTTGACCTAGGCTCTGATACCAAATCTAGACTTGAGAAAGATTATGAATTCTAAGAATTTAAAGAATAACTCTCTTTATTTGCTTAAGAAAATAACTCAAAACTTAAGCTTTTAAAACTCTTAATCTCTCTCTAATCTCTTAAGGTTACCACAACTTTGATAACTCATATATATAGAGAATAGATAACACCTTATTCTAATAGGAATTGTATCTAGATAACTCCTAAACACAATCCAATTCCTAAGTCATAACTCAACTAGGAAAAGGTAACTTGCTTCGTGTCATCTCTAGAAGTGTTCTATTCCTCCTCTCTACTACTCCATTTTGTTGAGGAGTATATGGAGCAGTGAGATGTCGAGTGATACCATTTTCTTCACAAAAATTTTGAAACTCCAAGGACACGAATTCTCCTCCTCGGTCTGTGCGAAAAGTGGTGATTGAAGTTCCTGTTTCTTGCTCCACCCGTGCTTTGAAGATCTTAAATTTCTCGAATGCTTCACTTTTCTCTTGCAAAAGAATGGACCACATGTAACGTGAATGATCATCGATTAAGACAAAAATGTACCTCTTATGCGCAGCTGTGGAAGGTGTAATTGGTCCACACAAGTCTCCATGAACAAGCTCCAAGACTTTTGATGCACGATAGGAAGTGAATTTGGGGAATACATGTCTTGCTTGTTTTCCAAGTAAACATGATGAACAAGGTTCCGTAGCTTTTGTCATGCGAGATATTCCGACTACCAGTTCTTTGGTCACCATAGAGTGTATGGTTTGAAAACTAATATGTCCTAATCTAGCATGCCAAGGAGCTGTCGTGGGAGAAGAAACAAGTTGAAGACATTTTGATTTTATATGTTCCACCTCCAAATCCACCTTGTATAGCCGATTCCTTGATCGAATGGCTCAAACCAATAAGTTTCCTTCTCGATCGTGTACAGTCAAGTAGTCTTCTCTCATCCTAACATCACACCCGGATTCCGTAGCTTGCCCCAAGCTAATGATGTTACTCTTGAGATCGGGTATATAGT